GCCTGGAGCTCTCAGGGCTTTCCCTGGGAGAAGCGTCACCCCCCCTTTCCCAGGCTGAGGCTGCAAGGAGGGAATGGGATGCACGGACCCCCCCCTTGTACCCCAAGGACCGCCGAGCCTCCCGACAGCAGGGCACAATGGAGGCGACACCGGGCATGGCTTTGCTCCGGAAGCCCAAGCCGGTATCCGGGAGAGAGGAGACGCCAAGAACAGGCTCCTCGGCAGCAGCGTTTACCCAGAGCCCTCTAGAGGTAACCCAACCCCGGCTTCCCCCCCCCATCCCGACCCTCTCCGCCGAGGGGGGCACATGGGACCCCGCTACGGTCCTGCCCGCATTGCCCCCCCCTTGCTCTTCCCTTTTACCCAGCGGTTTTGGAGAGCCCCAACCTTGCTAGAAACTCTGCCAGGGAGATGGCGACGGCAGCAGCGGGGTCATTTGAGTGTTGCAACGGTGGGGAAGAGTGGGAAGGTGATGGGGGTCTCTCTGGGGCATCCCCCGGGTGGGAGAGGAGGACACCAGGCTTGTTGCCCGATCAGCATCGGGGATGGGAGCTGTGCAAGCAAGAAATGAGGTTTTCTACCTGGAAAAGTGGCCCAAACCGTGTTTTCATCACCTGGATGGTGAAAACAGGTTGTTTTCCCCCCCAAAGCTCCAGGCTCGGGCGTCATGCGCTTGCGGGTGGGAAGGAGGGGAATTTCCACTTACCAAGTTACCCCTCCTTATTGCTGGAGGAGGAGATCATGAAAGCCAAGGAAAACACAACTCTGCGAACAAGAAGATAAAGAAATGCCGCAGGGCAATGAGCGAGGAGCCTGGATTTCTGCCTCCGAGAAAGCCCAGGAGATTTGAAACCACGCGGACGCTTTTCTCTAGGGTGAGCGCAGGGGGTTTGGTGGCGGTTTAATCCCTCCCTGGCTGGGAAAAGCCGTGAGGGGAGGGGAAGCAATAATTTTCTTTTCATTTGCTTTGGAAAGAGCGCAAGGATGGGGAATTATCCCTAAATCCTGCCCTCCCTAATGCACAGGCGTTTAACCCCTGCCTCCCCGCCGAAGGAGGGAGCGGAGCTGATTTCTGCAGCCTCCTTGATCCTTTCTCCCTGCTCCATCACTCCTTGGCTGGTGGCAGTGGACGGATGTCCCCAGGGGAGACCGGGGGACCAAGCCCCGGTGCTGGGGGACACCGGTTGGCTCTGGGAATGTTGCAGCTCGGCTGCGTATGGCAGGACACAGGAAGGGGCTGGATCAGCTGGATCCTGCAGGTGGAGGGGAGAAGAAGGCTCTCCAGGGATCCTGGATGTGCTCCGAGCAAGGGCTGTGGCAGCCCTGCCTGTGTCCCCAGGCCCATCAAGGCACGCAACAGCCCTCCGCCCCGGGGCTCTGTCCGCACCAAATCCTGAGCCAGAGATTCCAGGTGATGGGCACGAGGGAAAGACCCACACGGGCTGCCCTGTACTGGGACCAGTGCAAGGAGCAGAGAGAGGGAGCACCAGTCCCTGCCCTTGCCCCATCCCCGTGCATGGGGTTGCACCTCAAGAGGGCATGGGGAGACCAGAGCTGCTCCCGGGACCCGGCTCTTCCCTGGTGATCCGAGCAGCAGATCTGCTCCCAAGAAGGTGGAAAAGGTCCAACGAGGTTAAGCTCTGCTGGGCAAGGGCTGGCTGAGCCCTTTCTTGTGCCCCGAGGGGAAGAACCTCGCAGGAACAAAGGAGGCTGCTTCTTCCCTTGCACAGATGCCCATGCAAAGGGCACTGCCTGGGTTTGTCCAGGGGTTTTTTCCCAGCTTTTCCCCCTGGGGAACAGCTCAGCACCTCCTTCTCCCTCCATAGGCTCCAGCAGAGCACCCCCATCGCTGCCGAGAGGGACGGAGAAGGACATGGCCACAGCAGAACCGGCACAGGTGAGGGAGAGTCTCTCCTTCGGGGTGGGCAAGTGCATTTCAGCTGACCTGCAACATCGGTGCCAGGTATCTTCTGCCCAGTCTGGTGGGGCTCTGTGACCGTAGCTGTGGGTTATCACCTTCCTGCAACTCCATTTGGACCAAGAGGTCCCCATATACCGGCGGTGGGTGGTCAGGGTGCAGGTGAGGTGGTGAGGAGCAGAGGATGGAGCCTGTGGTGGGCATGCTTCAAGGCTGAGCCTGGATGCAGGCTGCCGTAAGGGTTTCTCTGAGCTCCCCTGTGTCAGAAACACAGGGAAGGTGGAAAGTCACAGTAGGGCATGGGGTTTTGTGTCTCCAAGTGGCAGGAAAAGGCACAGAGGACGGGGTGGAGAGGTTGAGCTCAGCCTGGTTGAGCTCCTTCAGCTCCATCATCCCCACCGGGCATTGCTGGGGGTTTAACAACCCTCAGTGTTTTCCAGTTTCTTTTTTTCCTTCCCCGTAAGTTTACCCAGCTGCTTTCTGAACCCATGTGGCCCTTTAGCATCCGTGATGTCTTGCAGCAAGGCTCTCCACAGCTTAACTACACCCCATGGGGAATGGTACCTCTGATCCTCGCCAGCATCCTTTCTGGCTCTCCTGCAGCTCTGCTGAACATAGCCTTGGTTCCTCTCCCTGCTGCCTCGAGCTGACCCACGGTGGCAGGCGCTGAGCTGGGACATCCTTGTTGTTTCAGTATCCAGTGACCTTCAAGGAGGTGGCTCAGTACTTCACCGATCCCAGCCAGCGGGCCCAGTACCGAGAAGCCATGCAGGAGAGTCCTGGAAATGACTCCTCTCTGGGTAAGGACGCACCTTCACTCCTTCCTGGGCTAAGTCTTGGGGTTGGGTGGGCACAGATGCTCCTCTAGACTTTGGAGGTTTCCCCATTGCTTCTGGCAATTGTGCTTTCCCCTCGGGACACATATTGGGGACCCATAGCACCTTCCATCCCCACCTTCTTCAGAAGAGCACATGCTCTACCACATCAGACCAATGGTCCATCTGGCTCCATGTTCTCTCCAGACATGGTGGAAGGAGATGCTATGTAAGAGAACAAGGAGAGACCTTTCTCAGCTGTGCCCAGCCCTTGCATCGTCCTCTCTCCAGCAGAGCCCCCAAATCTTCTCATAGTAGCTCCTCAAATGCACCCAGACCTCTGCTCTGTCTCAGGAACCAGCTCTGCCGACCCTCAACCTGACAGGATCTCCTCTGGGCTGGAGGAAAAGACATGGACCCCAGCTCCCCAGGACTCAGATGCAAAGCCCTTCTCTAACAACTCTTCCACAAGTGAGGAACGGGCTTAAATAACCTAGAGGGCATCTGGGAGAAAAGCAAAACACCTGGGACTTCTACCCAGGCCTTAAGACACCCACCATCAGCTTGGTATCTTCTAGGAGAGGGGTCCCAGAATCTCCTGGTCCCTTGGGAGATGTTGCCTGCAGATGCACATGGGAGGGGAACTCTCAGCCCATGGGAAGCAAAGGCAGAAGCTCTCCTTTTGGGTTTCGGAGGGTTTTAAGAGCTGGGGTTTGAAGCTGAACTTCAGTCCAAGCTTCTCCAGCTGGCCAATGGTCAGTGTTTGGGCCTGGGCTGAAGGTGGAGCTCACACGAGCTTTCTTCATTCTTGGCTTTCCCCCACCCTGCTTCTTTGGTGGGTTCCTTTTCCATCCCAGACAGGGACTGACTCTTCATGATCTCTTTCTCTTTCCTCTGCAGGGGATGGGGTGGTGAGTGGGATGAGGGACAGCACGGCACAGACAGACCCAGACATCAAGACCTGCCTGGAGGACATCTCCCAGCACCATGAGCCAGCCAACATCCACCAGAGCTCCCGAGAGAAAGGCCAAGAGGAGGTCCAGGGTGGTCCTGGGAGGGAAACTCCAGGGACACGTAGGGAATTGCTGTTCCCCCATAGCCTTCACTCCAGGGATAGACCCATCCCTCATCCCACCAGTGAGAAGACCTTCCAGAGACGGGGGTCCCAGCACCCCTGCTCTGTCTGTGGGAAAAGCTTCGGGGTCTTCTCCAACTTGCTCCGTCACCAGTGGAGCCACGGTGGGGACAAGGCCTACAAATGCCCCGAATGTGGGAAGGGTTTTGGGCACAGCTCGGCGCTGGTGACACACCGTCGCATCCATACGGGCGAGAAACCCTACCAGTGCGCCGACTGCGGCAAGAGCTTCAACGTGGTGTCCAACCTGGTGCGCCACC